AACACACCTGATTTGAATGAATGGGTGATTATCAGGATCTGCAGTACGGAGGACCGAAAATGACATAATTAAAAATAAAGGCGGAAATACATAAATTGACTAATAAATAAATAAACAAATAAATACTTGTTTTATAATTTAATTGACCTTCACAATTATTTTCAAACTTAGTTCCAACAAATATTATATTTTTGCAAAAAAACGTAAAATGTAAATGATGTGCTATATATACCACCTCAGCTGACTTCTTTGGATGTGGGGAATCATCAGCTCTGTTCAGAGGTCCCCCCTGGATGATGAGAGTTTCTCACTGAGGTCCTTCCTAATGTTTTAGGTTGCAAGTCAGGGGCTGCAGCCCATGGCAGCCACACCCTACACAGTTTGTGTTTGTTAAAAAGCATAAGACAAGACACATAATCTGCTCTTTTTTTCTCATGTGGTGTCCTTAAATAATAAATTGGTATGCCAATTTTTTTAATGGCTGCCATCTATCACATGGAAACAGCCACAGTGACTGAAAACACGACAACGATGGGATCATGAAACAGACAATTGAGACAGAATAACAACAAGCCTGATGGACTGTTAGATATTAACTAAAATTTGTCGAGGAAAGTAAGAAAATCTAAGTGCTTTGTTTGGATTGAGAGCGATATGTGTAGGTGTAACAAAGATCTAAAAATGCATGTCTTCAAGTCAAAAATGAGGCAGCTTTAATGTACTTTTACCATATCAGAATCAATTTATTTGTCATTAACAGAGCACAACATCTGTTTCGGCACAACCCATCCAAGACAAAACAAAACATTCATGGGAGACAGGTGTCCGATGATGCAGTCATTGAAAGGCATTAAAGAAGAAGAAGAAATAGTAAGCATGAGGGATAAAAAACATATCTCAAACTGGGTCCCTACAAGGAGATAGCATGAAGTTTATAAAATAAATCCCTGCATAGAGCACATTTAAGCAAGCAATTATGATAGTAATACACTGGAAGTAAGCTATAAATGTATATTCTGTACATAAACATTTATTATTCACACACTGATTGCTTTAATTCATTCTTAACATATTTRTTCTGCATTCTGTATTTGATGCATCTTGAACAAAAACAATGTGTTTAATAGTTGTTAGCTTATTTAAAAGGTCATCATATATTTTTGACAATATTTGGGTCTATCTAAACACCTACCAACTTTTTTAATAKCCATTTCTCTTCAGTCTCAGTGAATAATAGACAGATCTCTAAAATGCACATTTTGAAAAGAATAAACTCCTTCAAACAGCTTAGAATAAACATTTTTTTTACGTTTGATTCTATAGTTTGAAATGAGACCCTTTAATATTATGGTTTTAAAACCAAATGCATGCATTTAATAAATCTTTCATCTTTAGAGACACTGATTTCGTTACACAGAGACTATAAAGTACCTCTTATAAACTTTTATATAAATGTATAAAAATGGTTTACAGCTCAACACTTCAGGTGGAGGAGAGCAGTGATGGCAAGGAACTCAGATGGGGGTCAGTATGTGACAGGTTGTAGATATCTTTGTGGGGTGACGGTAGAGGGTGGTCCAGAAGCAGTGATATCATCTGACGTGGCAAAAAAACAGAGCAAAAACAGTGGAGGGGGGGGGGGTGTACGAGAGAAAAAAAAAGGGAGGGGTTGCACTCGGATCTGCAGTTTATCTGCAATGCATCAGTAGGTCCTTCTCTCCCTCCCCACCTCAGAGGGTGTGGACACGTCTGAGGTGGGCAGGGACGGCTCAGCAGCCACAGAAATCAAACCTTTCCTCGTTGTACTCACAGCAAAGTTGGCAAAACTCCAACAGAGGGTCATGTCACCCCAAACACACACATTGATTAGAACGCACACACACACACACTCACACACAGAAAGACACAGGCAGAATGGGCTCCAGTCTGCAGACATTAGCACATTAAAAGTGCTGATAAATTAACATTAGGAGCT